TTCCTGACTAATTCGAAGCTGACTGACTAAAACTGCATTGCCGACAAGTTCCTCTGGAGGGCAGTGTGTCCTACCTTTCCATTGCTCAATGGTGTGCTCTCTCTCTTCCAGCTGCTTGTCTGAAATCTGGGGAGGTGGCTGTGAAACCGAGAGAAACAAGGCAAGGTCACATGAAAACACTGCAGTGGTGAAGAGTTAAACAACACAACCGTCTCCAGTGGACCACTCCTCTCACCGCGTCAGCTTCTGCAGGGTCGTACCACACGTGAATGTAGGGGTGGTTGAGGGCTTCTTCAACCGAGATGCGACTCTCAGGATCAATAACCAGCATTTTGGACAGCAGGTCCCGCGCTTGACTCGCTGTCGTGGAAAAGATAGGGGGGGAAAAACACCTGTTTTACTAAGGGAAATACAAATACTGTGTCTCAATTATGACACAAAAATTATATTCCGTTCAGAGACAGAAGTGATTGTGAGCTGATAATATATTCGTGTTGTCAATCTAGTTTCTTACTCTTCAGCTTGTCGTGCTCTGAGTCAGATGGAAAGGCCCAGTCTGGGAAAAGCTCAGCGAAGCTCACGCCAGGATACTGTGGTTTGTTCATCACGTAGTTCCTTACAGTCTCCATTAGTCGGTTCATGAAGTCCAGACTGGGTGTGCCCAGAACCTCAATCACCTTATTCCACTGGTCAATGTCTGGAAATTACACTGGTTATGGAAAAACCCTGCTCCATTATTATGGGCAAGTAAAAATTGCATTTGAATTTGAGTACTGTCACAGTAGATGTAGAGACAAAGAAATACAGCCAATACACAGATTATATATGATGAATGTGTGTAGGCGGTGTGTATGTAAAGGTCAGAGATGAAACGAGAATTACACTGGTCTGTCATTCATTGACAGACACTGAAAAAAGGCAGTAGATGTAAATAAAGCCTTGGAACCAAGAAAGTAACAAAATGAATGACACTGATCTAAAATTAAGGTAATTTACCTCCACAACAAGTAATGTGAAGTTAAAAACCAAAACCTCTGAAATCAGGTCTGTTGAAAACCCCACGTCATCCTCTTCAACAGCTGCAGAGCTCAGACAGTGTACCCGGGGAAATGTCTCAAACACAAGTGCAGAGCAAACAAGAAAACAAGACAATCATCAGGAGGAGGAGTTGTTTTTCATGTACTTTTCTTCCCCTCCTGTGAGGTGGTTCAGACAGCGGTTAAGGATACGGTCAGTGCCCTGGAAGATCACGCTGCCTTTGACCATCTCTCCCATGATGCAACCCACCGACCAGATGTCCACTGGAAACAGAGCAAAAAACAAGTTCACACATCGGACTTAGTTAACAGATGTGTCCACACAGTAGAAAAGAATAGAAGTTTGTGTTGTCAGCCACAAATCAAATGTACAGCAGCAAGGAAATATCCAATATCCAAGTACTTTATACCTGAATATAAAGTACTTCTAACATACCTTAGAAGTACAAACAATAGGTGTACTTAGTACACAATAAAGACAGGTAGACGAATTTATGTACCAATACAAAAATATAAACACAGAGGTAGAAATGTAAATAATTTGAAAACATTAAAGTAAGTACAAACTTAAAGCAAAAATGAAAATATTATATTATAAGATTAAATGTAGTCTCAGTAAACGAACCAGACACTCAGTAAAAACAGATCAGATATAACTGTACAGTATAATTAAGGACTTAAGGTCATTTAAGGACTGCAGCATCTCTATACTAATACTATAAAGCAGTGGCCATCAAATGGCAGCTTGCAGTCCGCTTCCAGCCCATGAGCCACCAGTTGACCCCGGACTGACCACATGAAAATCGTTTTTCTTTCCTTCACTGTCTGTCTGTTAATGTTTTGGTCAATCCTGCGGTTTTATCAAAGCTGGATCCATCTTGGAGCTGTCTTCTCTCTCTCTCCCTGTCTCTCCCTCTGTTGTTGTCTCCGTCTCTGGCCTGAGAACCAGACTCAGTCTTCCAGGCCTTTCTCCTGGGCTCAGCTTATCAGTTTACACAGCTGTTACTCTCTCTCTCTCTCACGTTCCCAGTGAGTTTGTGTGCTGAGCTGAGGAGCCGGAGACGACTCTGCTTCAAAGCATTATGATGTGGCAAACAGCCAGCTCTTCCTCTGCTCTGATAACGGCTCTGCGACGCCTCGGTGCTGTTAAAAACAACTTATAACACAATGCACGAATCAGAGTTTGGCACAAGCCTCCCCCGATTTGATTTATTACCAAATTTAACACATTTAACCGACTCATCATCTCTATAGCCACCATTACCAAATGCTGTGATCAGAGCTGATCTGTCCCCAGAATTTTAGTATGAGTTCTCAGCTGTTGCTCTGCGTACTGCATTCAAAATTCGTTCTGAAGGCTAAACTGCGTATTTTTGTGGTTGTTATAAATAAGATTGCGGGGGTAATGACGGCAGAATGAGGAAAGGAGCAGCAGGAGGAGATAGGAGAACAGAGAGGAGCAGCATTGTTTACTTAGCAAAACAAAAAAACAAAGCTCATTGGTGTGCTGTCTGCCACGTGCAGCAACATGACAGAGCTCTGTAACCACTGTTACTGTGTGTTTGAAGAGTAATTCTTTAAGATATAAAATATATATACACATCAATATTGACCTAAAGCCTTGACAATATATATACATCAATATTGACCTAAAGCCTTGACAAAGGATATTAATGAAAAGGCTGCTCAGTGCCATCTGACGTGTTCAGCTCAGCTCACCGTTCTCCTTGTACTTCATGCCCAGGATGACCTCTGGGGCTCTGTAGTATCTGGTCACCACGTATGGAGTCATCATGAAGTTAGTGCAAGCTGTTCGGGCCAGGCCGAAATCCAAGATCTTAAGGGTGCAGTCCGACTTTACCACGATGTTACTGGGCTTCAGGTCCTGAGGCGGAGAGAAACTCAATGACTCAGAAGAAGAAAAAGAAAAAACACATAAATATCAGTGTAGAAACGAGGGCGACTGAGAGATTACAGAGTTATTCTGGGGTTAATGACTCGAGGCGAGAGAGTCGTCAGACGCCGTAACTGTAAATGCTGCGGTAAATCCAGCAGGATTTTATTTAGAGAAGCAGAGACAGCTGCGAAAAAACAACCTGCGTAATTAAGTGTCAATCAAACTATTAGAGAGGCTACGGTCCATTTTTCAAAACAGCAACTTATTTATGGCCCCTTTTAAACATAAACCACTAAAATTCTAATTTGTTTCAGTTCTATCAGAGCAAGGACGATGACCTTCTACTGGTTGCTTTATACAAACTGATTATTGATACAGATAAAACAAAACAATCCAGTAACTGCTATTTAGACTGAGATGTAAATTACGTCGCTAAGATCCGTAAATATCAATGTTTAAAGAATTACCCTGTGAATAATGCCAGCAGAGTGCAAGTGTCTGATGCCACAGAGAATCTGGTAGAGCAGGTAGGACATCCTCTCATGGTCCAGGTCCATGTGGATCACCTGACAGAGGCTGGCATCCATCAGCTCCATCACTAGGTATCTGACCGGAAAAAAAAAAGAAGACACTGGTGAATTACAAATAAAATATGGTATCACATAATCTGTTAAAACAACTTAAAGCCCTAATCACATCAAAATTATTCACTGGTCAAATTAATACCTTTATATATAGTGCCAGGAAATGTATTTCAACTGTATTTTGTTTAAAATCCTCCTCTGGTGATCAGAGAAGGACAGACCACTGGGTGAAATCTCCTCCAGCCCACGAGGATTCTTAAAGGTCTGGACTGTTTCGGTCAATCGATGTGTTAAATTGCTGACCGATGCTGCCTGAACCACTCTGTCACAGTCTGAGACCTTTAAATCCCAGCTCTGTCACCTTTGGATACGTCTGTGCTGTCAGAGAAGAAGAAAATCCATTGATGGAAAAACCTGGTCATTCTTTATGTTGGGGTTGTCAGCTGACCTAATCTTTAGGAAGCAGAAACTGCTGGACCCAGACCTGATGAAGTAAAGCAACTCCATTTAATATACGACATATATAGATATAACAATATAGTTTTATTCTATATTGCATAAAAATATATAGATATTATATTTAAAAAATTAACCTATTGCTCAGTATAATTTTTCATTTATTTACACATTAGTTCTTGCCAGGCTATAATTAGACAGCTTCAACTATGGTTAGCCTTCAGCAAAAGAACAAAAAAAAAAAAAAAGTCATTAAATTAGTGACCCATTAAACATGTTAATCATGTTGGTGTAAGGCTCTTATTACTGGAGGAAACGGACACAAACATGAGAGCAAACAGTCTAATGAGTGATGGTGATAAGATCAGAGGCAAGTTGTCAGGGAAATCCAAGTCACGGCAGGTCAGAGATACACTCTGAAAAGAAGGCGATTCAGAAAGACTGCAATGCTACTCACAGATCCTGGAATTCCTCCAAGGACTTCTGTGGCGTGAACACATTGATCAAACGGATGATCTACAGGCAGAAAGACAGAACGTCAGACAGACTCTCCAGTTTTATCTACCTGACTGCAGTGAAGTGTCTGAATTATCTCTCACTCTGCGGGAGAAAAAAACAAAACCTTATCATCAGGTAACATTTATTTTCACAGAAATAAATTTAAAAGAAAAGTCCTCCAGCAAATCAAGGAGGCATTAACTTTAAGTACAAAGATAAGACCATATTATTAGACATTTAAAAAATGACTGTCAGCAGTTTAAACCATTCTGAAATTATATGATAATGAACAGCAATTCCATTCCTCATACCTTCTCTTCTTATTTGCATAAAACATAAAAAATAGTGCAGTTAAAAAAATATATAGAGGTACTCACATTTTTGTGGTTGACACATTTGAGCAGCACCAGCTCCCTGTACGCCCGCTTAGCATGGGTCTGGTTCTGGAAGGGTCGACACAGCTTCTTCACAGCTACAGGTATACCAAGCACTGTATCTAGAGCTGAGCTGGTCATACACATGACAGTGGGAGGAATAAAGGGGTGGGGGTGTGGGGGGGGATTAAAATTCATGCTAAATCTCAGTACCAAACTTCTATTGATACAGTATATGTTCTGTCCAGTGTATGTTGAATTATTAAAAAATATACTGTATATATTTCTATCAAAATTAACATAACATAAGAACATAAAAAGTAGCGCCTCTCACCAGACAATGCCCTGGGCCCCAGAACCGATGGCACGGAGCTGCTGGTAGCGCTTGAGTACAGTGAAGGTGGAGTCGCCAACCTGGACGCTGTAGAACTGTCCCTCTGCTTCAC